ATAGTCATCCTTTTCTCTATTGAATACTAGGTCTTATTCATTCTAACTATATTTTTGTACCCATTTGCAGACTAATAATTAGACTTTTTTCCTAACATGAGCTAGAGCTGTGGGACAGGCAAGGATCATATTTCCCTGTTTGTATTTTATTTTTTATTTTTTAACTTTTATTATAAAGATGTAGGGTATGCTGTTTTGTTTTCTGTGTGTCATGTCTTCTCCCCCAATTCCTTCGTTACAGCCTTGTGTTTGGTTATTATTATTATTTTTTTTGTATTGCACTTATCATTTCCTTTCTTATATATTGTAAAGTCGTTTTATTAGTGGTTACTTTAGGGAATACAAATAACCTCTTCAACTTAACAACAGTCTATTTTGAATTAATACCAATTTAGGTTTAATAGTATACAAAAACTCTGCTTCTGTGCAACATAACACTTTCCCATTATGTTGTGGACACAACTTACATCTTTATACATTATGTGCCCACTGACATAGATTTTAAATTATTTTATGTGTTTTTCTGTTAAGTCATTAGAAAGAAAAACAAAAGAGTTACAAACCAAAAGTACAGTAATACTGACTTTTGTATTTACCAATGTGGTTGCTTTTACCAGTGTTCCTTTTTTCTTTGTATGACTTCATGTTACTGTTTAGCATCCTTTCATTTCTCATGATATCCCTTTAGTATTTCTTGTAGGAAAGGTCTAATAATGACAGCCTCCCTCAGCTGTTGTTTATCTGGGCATGTCAATTTCTTCTTCAGTTTTGAAATTCAGTTTTTTAGTTTATGTTTTTTTTTCTTTTCAGCAATTTAAATAGTCATTCTACTGTCCTCTGGATTATAGTTTCTGATGAGAAATTAGCTGCTAATCTTATTAAGGATCCCTTGTATACGAAACACTTCTCTCTTGCAGCTTTCAATGTTCTCTTTGGCTTTTCACAGTTTGATTATAATGTGTTTTGGTATTGACATCTTTGTGTTTTGCTTCTTGGAACCTGTTGAACTTCTTGAATTTGTGGATTATTGTCTTTTATCAAATTTGAGAAGTTTTTGGCCATTATTTCTTTAAATATTTTTTCTCTCTTCTTTTGGTAAACTCTTTATGTGTATGTTGGTATGCTTGATGGTAACAGATCTCTTAGGGTTCACACTTGTCCATTTATTTTTCTGTGTGCTCCTCAGGATTGCTAATTTCAATGGAGTAATCTTCAAGTTCTGTGTTTCCTTCTTCTGCCTGCCCAAAGCTGTTATTGAAACCCTCTAGTTAATTTTCTAGTTAATTTTCCATTTGAGTTGTTGTAATTTTCACTTACTGAATTTCTTCCTTATTTGTAGGTGGCTTGGGAGGGAGGGGGAGAGAGTAGAAGGGGAGGCGGAGAGAGAGGGCAGGTAGACAGAGACGAAAGTTCTTTGATATTTCTTCTTACAAGGGCACTAATCCTGTCATGAGGGTTTCACTCTCATGACCTCATTTAACCCAATCTTCAAATACCATCATAGTAGGGCTTAGGATTTCAACATGTGAATTTTGAGGGTTATACAGATATTCATTCCATAGCAGTCTCTGAAGTCTCTTATTTTTTAGCTGTGGTGTGATAGTGTTTTTGGGAGAGATTTCCTTGAATACCTGGAGTCAGAAACAATAGAAAAACGTGAAAAAGAAAGAAGTCAGCAAAACCTTTCCCAGTCTTGGCATATTCTCTCTTTTGGGCATTCCATCAACCTTAATTGGTCTGTTTACAACTCTGCTTTAGCCTTCACTTTCTGCTTGTGCTGAGCTTAGAGAAGAGCCAGTGGTTTTCTCAGGTCTTTTCTTAGTAGGGGTCCTGCCCTAGACATATGTGTGTCTTGCTTTTCAATGCTGTAATTTCCCAAAGAAACTCTCCAGTCTTTTCTCCAGGTTTTTGGCATGTATGGTATTAGCCTTAACTGTAATCTTTTGCCCCAAGCAGCAGTGGGTTTTTCATTTGCCTTAAAATGATTTTTGAGGAATACCCTCTGGGTGATCACTTTTCCACACTGAGAGAGTCAGAGTTAGGTGAAACAAAGGGAAGTGCCTTAAGTCTGTCCTTCAGCTAGTCTCAGACAGGTCAAACAGACACATTTCTTTGAGAGCAAAGTCTGCTCTGCTTACACGGGAACCAGGTACCAGGGTCCAACAGTAGGAATGTGGGCTGCTGAGCTGGGGGTGTGGTAAGGGAAATAAAAATGCTGCGAAGCTTATACACTGTTATTTTATTTATTTATTTTAAAGATGTGGGGTACAATTCAGGATTAGGTATACAAGTGGTCATCGTATAGGTAAAGTTTGACCCTCCTTTGGTCCCCACTTTGCCTGGTTGAGATCAGGTACTCTTATTGATGCTATGTGCACCCCCCTTCCCCTGGCAGTTTCTGGCTATTGCCAACCCCTTTTAAACAGTATTTTAAGGTGCCTTTTTCTTGGTCCTGTGTTTACTCAGTTGATACACTTGAGGGTCAGTTAATTCTTTGACTGTTTTCCAGATTTCTGACAAGGTTAATTCTGAAGGCTTTTGCCTATTTTTCAGTGCTTCTGTGCAGGGACAAATTACCTACCCTATCTTTGACTATGCTCCCTCTTGGAACTACTACTATCCCATTTTTGTTGACATCACTGAGGAAGTGTATTTTTCTAGTACTTTTCTATATTTGTTGCTCTGGGTTCTCTCTGAACTCCATGTGGCTTTTCTCTCCTCTTCCTTCTGTGCAACTTCTACCCTGTCTGAATTGCTCTTGGTAGCATCTGTAAGTATTTAGAAACTTTTGGATTATCTCTTTCTTTTCACCTAACTGAAAATAAAGATTGCATTTTTAAATGCTGGTTTATTTGTCTTGTTGATTTTATATGGGTCCAGAATCAAAAGTGTTTCATTATCTCCTCCCCACAGATGCTTTTTCTGCACCTTTGTCATTAATCCGTATTCTCATCTAAATCCCTGGCAATCATTGATATGTTTTTTTTGTTCTTATTACTTTGTCTTTGCTAGAATGTCCTACAAATGGGATCAGTTTGTAGTATTTTGAATGTGGTAGGTCTCACTGTCACCCAGGCTGGAGTGCAGTGGCACACTCATGGCTCACCACAGCCTTGACCTCCTGGGTTCAAGAGATCTTCCCTCTTTGGCCTCTCAAAGCGCTGGGATTACAGGCATGAGCCACCATGGCCCACCGAATGTAGCCTTTCTTTTTGAATCTCACTTCTTTCATTTAGCATAATTCGAGATTAATTAACGTTATTTTGTGTTATCAGTAGTTTGTTCATTTTTCTTGCTGAATAGTTTTCTATTTACGGTTGGATAGTTGAAGGCCATTTGGGGTGTTTATTGTTTCCAGTGATTTTGAATAAAACTACTATTAAAAATTCACATATAGGTTTTTATGTGAGCTAAAATTTTCACTTTTTTTGGAGAAGAACATAGGAGCGGGATTTTTGGGTCATAACTTTCTAAGAAACTACCAAATAATTTTCCCAATTGGTTATATAATTTTGCATCCTGACCAGCAGTGTAGGAGAGTTCTAATTCTTCTGCATCCTCACCATCGTTTAGTATTGTCAGTATTTTTTAACACTGTAGTATGTAGAAGTAGTATCTGTATTTTTTTCGTTTTCCCTAATGTTTAATGATGTTGAGCACTTTTTCATGAGCTTATTCATCATCTGTATATCTTTGATGACATTTCTGTTAAAATCTTGTTATTTTTAATTTTTAAAAATGGAGTTTTGTGCATTTTTATATTCTAATTACAAGTCCTGTTAGACATATTTTGGAGATATTTTCTTTAGTCTGTGACTTTCCTTTTAATTCTTTTAACAGTTTCCTTCAAAGACCAGTAGTTATTTTAGTAAAGCCAATTCTATTTATTTTTGGATTGTGCATTTGCTGTTGTATCTTAGTAATATTTACTTAATTCAGTCACAAACATGTTCTCTTATTTTTTCGTCAAGAACAGCACTAGAAATATAGTGACATATAGAAATTAAAAATTTTTTAGTATTTCTTAAGAAGGCAAAAAGAACTGGGTATAATTAATTTTGATATTATATGCCAATATATCAAAAATTCTCATTTCAACATGTATTCAAAAGAAAAATTATTAATGAGAGTGTACATTTTAATTTTTGCGTTGTTTTACCTTGTATTAATTGTATACTTAACAGCACATCTTAACTTAGTTGAGCCACATTTCAGGGACTCATTAGCCACATGTGTCTAGTTGTTATTATATCAGACAGCACAGGTCCAGAAGTTTTATAGTTTTGATTTTACTTTAGATCTGTTAACATGTTTTGAGTTAGTTTTGTATAAGGTGCAAGGTTTGGGTTGAAGTTCATTTATTTACATGTGGTTGTCCATTAGAAACTTTTGAATGGAAGTTGTTTTTCTCAGAGATCATCCTGTTCTCCAAAATGCAATATTTAGACATACTTTCTTTTATTGTTTTATTTTATTGTCTTTCATTTCAGAGCATTGTAAATTTACTTTGCAATTAACAATTTTCACACCTGTATAAAATGCTCAGAAGTGTTAGGCATTTTATGTTTTGGCTTTATTCATATACCTATTTGAACTTAAAGTATATATTATATTATTTATTTATTTACTTATTGCATTGGGTTCTCATTCTGTCACCGAGGCTGGAGTGCAATGATACGATCATGGCTCACAGCAGCCTCAACCTCCTGGACTCGGGTGATCTTGCTGCCTTATCCTCTGAGTAGCTGGGACCTCAGGCATATGCCATCATGCCTGGCTAATTTTTTTTATTTTTTTTATTTTTTTTTTGTAGAGACAAGGTCTTACTATGCTGCCCATGCTAGTCTTGAACTTTTAGGTTCAAGCAGTCCTCTCGCCTTTGCCTCCCAAATTGCTGGGATTACAGACATGAGTCATTGCATCCAGCCTTACATTTTTAAGTGTATTAACCTCTCTGTTTCTAAAATTATATCTAAAATGTTTGTTTATTTTGTTTCTAGGCATGTACCGGCATTGAAAACATTGATGAAGCTATTACATTGCTTGAACAAAATAATTGGGACTTGGTGGTGAGTGTTTTTTTTTTCTTTTTATGACCAGTTATAAAATTTTATGAATTCTTGCATGTCTTTAATATTTCTTAACCGATGGGTCAGCATGCCATAGCTCATTTGTAACTCTAACCTGAATGAATAAAATCTAAATGATGTATCTTTTATAAGAAGTTCATACTTAGTTTAGTGTTAAATTACTAAATTATTATGAATACTTAAATAATTTAAATGGTTTTAAAAGTTGTTCTCTTAATCTTCCTGTGTATTAAGCTTCATCTTCTCATGTTGTATTTTGGTGGAGATGCTTGCAAGGAGAGAAAAATCAGACTTGTCTGAATATCTGAATAATTTATTTGATGTTTCCTCTTTACTTCCTGGGGCCCTCACTGATAATTACTCCTTTCTAAAACTGTTAAAGAAGTGGCATTCTGTTGTGGTTTTCCTTATGAACGTCAGGCAGTATATTTAGAGGTGGTTTAGTTTTCCTTTTCTTTTTTGGGGGGCAGTAACTCAAAAGGCAGGGTACAGCATAGTACTAAACGTTCACCTATAACAAAACAACCTAAAAATGGATTGTAAAATAGTATTGAAGCAGTATTGGTATGTTAGGATGTCACAGATGTCCCTCAATTCCTTTGAAATGTTAAAGAAGGTCTAAATTATACTCTAAAGAAGTGCTGATTTTCAAATGTCAAAACTTAAGATGTGTACTTATAGAAGTGAGATTAGTTATGTAGGTATATGTACACATATGTTACATGGACTTATGTAATTAACTCTTGGTTATCTGTATGCTTTGTGTATATTTACTACACATACAAAACTTTTTTTACTCAAAATGTAAAAAGCTTTTCATATTATAAAAGTAATGATGAGACCAGGCATAGTGGCTCATGTCAGTAATCCTAGTACTTGAGGAGGCTGAGGTGGGAGGATTGTTTGAAATTAGGAGTTTGAGACCAGTCTAAGCAATGTAGCAAGACCTCGTCCTTACAAAAATAAAAAAGTTAGTATGGTGGCGAGGACTTATAGTCCCAGCTACTCAGGTGGCTGAGGTGGGAGGATTGCTTGAGCCCAGGAGTTCAAGGCTGCAGTGAGCCATGATTGTTTCAGTACACTCCAGCCTGGGTGACAGAGTGAGACCCTGACTCAAAAATAAATAAATAAAAGTTATGATGCTCGTTGTAATGAAATGAGAAGATGAAAAATTTACAAAGAAGGAAATATTAATCACCTTTAATGTCATAACTTAGAGATAACTATTGTCTCACATTTTTAGGTATATTATATCAGGGTGTCTATGTGACTAAATTTTAAAAAATACAATTGAGATTATTTTATACTTCATGTTTGTAATCTGCATTTTTCACCCAATATCATATTATAAATATTGTCTAGCTGAATGTGGTTGTTTATCATTCTTTTTTTAAAATTTTAATCAAAGTTTCACTTGCTGCCCAGGCTAGAGTACAGTGGCATGATCATGACTTACCATAGCCTCGACCTCCTGGGCTCAGGTGATCCTTCTGCCCCAGCCTCCTGAATAGCTGGTAATACAGGTGTGCACCACCACACCTGCCTAATTTTTTGTTTTTTTTGTAGTGATGTTTCCCAGGCTAGTCTCCAACTACTCGCCTCAGTCAGTCCTCCTGCCTTGACCCCCAAAGTGCTGGAATTATAGCATGTGCCACTACGCCCAGTCTATCATTCATTTTAATGTTTGCATAGTATTTCATGGTGTGGTTGTTCATAATAAATTGACTAACCAGTCTTATACTGTGGGGCATTTGAGATTTTTGCAGTGTCTTACTATTATGAACATCACTCTAGACTTGTTCTAGAGAACATTCCTGTACCTACATGTTGCATGTTTAACCTATTATTTTTCTAGAAGAAATGGAATAAATTCAATTTATAATTGAATTTCTGAGTCAAATTACATGTATATTTTTAAGGTGTTGGATGCTTATAGCCAAATGGACTTCCAGGATGGTTTTTATTAATTTAAATTTCTGCCAATTATGTACATTTTTGAGATTGCCTAATTCAGTAAACCAGTTTTTTTCTTATCTTTATTGTGTTTTGGCACTTGTCATAATATAGAAATAGTCATATGACCTGACTCAAAATTCGTGCTTTTAATCACTGTGATATATTCCAACAAAGCATGATGTAAGTGACAGTTCCATGATTTCTATGAAGCAGAAGGGAGAAAAGGCAGCAGCGTCTTCAGAGTGATGCCCCTAAGTTTGTCTTGAATCTTCTTTTGCAGTGGCAAGCACATTGCCTTATTTAATTGGCATATTTTGGGGATATCTATCAGAGAGGCTGATGGAAATTATTGGGGAGGTTAAAAAAATCCCAGCAAGCTGCTGTTGCATGATACTTATGAGAGGGACTTGGGATAGAGAAAAGGGGGATTATGGGCTAGGAGTAATGGAGTTGGGGGAATGGAAATGTTATTTTCTTGTCTGCTTCCTATTTGTTTGTCTTAATTTGTTTTGAAGGTTAAAACAGTTGTTGGTTGTGTATATTTTCTCAATCCAGCCTATCCAGCAAAAAGAGTTTTTTAAAGATAATGTTGAATAATTTAATGGGAAAGTGCTCTCCAACTATTTCTGAGTTGTTTAATTTTGGGAAATGTTGTAATAATACTTGGGTTAAAAACATTGATATGATATTTGTGCAGAAATACAGTCTTACATTGTATCAAGAAAAAGCATCAAGCTAAGCTGTCTTTCACAACCTTAAACTTTGGCTTTCTTTTGAAATGTTATCTCCTAGTTGGCTTTTTTCCACAAATGATCCACTTTTATTCACAGTAAAGATTTGTTGTGTTTTGTAACTAGTATCTTGCTCTATAAGTTTTATCATTTCACTTTTTTTCATACAGTGCTTACTTTATATTGTGTGTTTTTTTTTTTTTGAACCAGAGTCTCACTCTGTCACCCAGGCTGGAGTGCCGTGGCACACTCGTGGCCACCCCAGTGTCGACCTGCTGGGCTCCAGCAATCTTTCCACCTCAGCCTTCCAAGTAGCCGGAACTACAGGTGTATGCTACCATGCCCAGCTAATTATTTATTTATTTATTGTAGAGACGAGGTCTCACCAAGTCGCCTAGGCTAGTCTCGAACCCACGGGCTTAGGCAGTCCACTCGCCTTGGCCTCCCAAAGTGCTGGGATTACAGGCTGAGCCACCGAGTCTGGCCATATGTTTTGGTTTTTAAAAATGATACTTAATAACCGGGCTCGGTAGCTAAGCCTGTAATCCCGCGCCTTTGGGAGGCTGAGGTGAGTGGATTGCCTGAGCCCACGGGTTCGAGACCCG